CCGCAAGTACGAAACGGGCGGGGAACGTGGTGGCACGCGCCGAGGGCTGGAGCCCAGCAGGGCAGCGCGAGACACGATTGGTGAGAATATCTTTGGCTTCGAAGCGCGAACCCCCTCGCGCTCATCAGTCGCCGACCGAGGCCGACTCGCGGTCGTCGGGTGGTTCATAGTCTTGCGCCAAAATGGCTACGGAGAAATATTCAAACATATATTAAAACAGAAAGCATAGTCGAAACATCGTCCCGTGCCTATTTGTTTTACCCTTTTTGAACATTCCTTCAGTAGAGGGACGTGCCCGGCTTGACCCTAGGGTTCGAGCCTCCTCAGCCAAGTACGAGAGAGACAGGAAAACTATGAACCAGCAATATCTGGCCCCTGCCCCATGGCACTTGGCGCACCTCGGCACTTCGCCGTGCCATGCTGGACTGCGGGGGCCGAGGGGGGACAGGAGGAGCTCTGGCCCTCTGGGCCCGAGGGATAATCCTCAACAAAAACCATTGAGCGGTGGCCACAACACTAAGACTTGGAGCATCCTTGGACCAACGCTTATTTCAAAAGTCGAAAGCCTCGCTCGCAGTTTTAACATCCAGTGAGCACGTGCTGTTAACTCGCGTAGGTGTGATCGCCATGTGATCCGCCCACGCGCTGCCTGGAATACGGCGCAGATGCAAGGCATCCCAAGCTGCGCTCTCGCCTGCGCGCGCCTTGGCCTTTGCAGCGACGACGGCAACGACGACGCCGCTCGCTCAATCTTTTTTGTTCGGAGCCGCGGATCTCTGGGTGTCGCCGCGCAGCAGCGGATCTTGCTGTGCCTCCTCTCGCCAGGCACGCTGCCCGTCGCTCTTTCGCAGGGCCGCGTGCTGACAGCGCTCTCCCGCAAGCGGCAGCGGGACCGGCTTCTCCTTGGGGCTGCCACGTGGCCACCCCATGCCTCTGGATCTTGAACACGCATGCCGCGCGATCCTCAACGACGGTGGCCTTCTGCGGCGCGCCGTCTGGCGCGCGGGCCCCGCCCCCCCCCAAAAAAAAGCCCCCCGCCTCCGAAACTTCGACCATGAGTTGGCCCGCCCGAGCTGCACTCCGAGAGTGGCTCCATAATAACACGGGCCGTCGCTATGGCGACGGCCTTGCGTGAATGGCGCGATGGGTTCGATGGGCGCATGGGCCGTTAACGAAAGCTGATAGCAAGTTCGTCTTCAGACTTGCCAGCGATGAGGGTGCAGCCATCCGCCAGGAGGAGAAGAGAGGATCTGCTGGCTCGTGGCGCAGGCTCACGGTGCACATTTCGACATCTTGTCACGTCCCTGTCCGCTGCCAGAGAGGCGTTCCCAGGCCCTGCGGGACATCGACCCCGACTTGCCCGCACCTTGAGCACATGCCACAAGAGTTTGACCAGCGGGGTACCTACCCAGCAACAACGGTTCACTGACGCGGCGTACATGTCCTGAACGGTCTTGCAAGTCCTACTGGAGGTCTCTCTGGTCGAGGGGCGCTCTGCGCTCAAGGAAGTTGACCCGCGAGCTGAGCACTCCGTCGCCCGTGGGCCATCGGTCTCTCCAAGAGCCTTTCCGATCTCCGGTCTCTGAAACTCCACTTTTGAATCGTCCAACGCGTGGCGAAATCTGGGCTGGCCGGGCAACCACCGCGCGGTGGTGAGCGCCGCACGGCCCCCCCGCGAGCGCGGCTGGGTAAACGGTGCCCCGGGCTGCGTTCTTCGCCCGCACGTGCCTGCCCGACAGAGGCCCACTCTGTGTTCGCAGCCGTGGCATTTTCGTTCGGAAATCGTCGGGGTGGTCGAGCGCGGCCACCATAGTCTCCACGCCACGCGACATGCGGGAAAGCCGAGAAACTGGCGGGGGGGCGCGCGCTTCCCATGCCTCCCCGCAAAAACTCTGGCGAGGTTGGATAGTTGAGTAGTATGCCCCATGGGCCAAACCGGTTACGGCCCGCCGTCCCGTGTCATCACGCTCCGTTGTTTCCCCATCCGCCTCTTGTTCTTCCTACCTTTCTGTTCCTGACACTCCTTTTATCCTCCTCCGTCTGCCCCACACCCGGCTCCCAAGTCCATAGGAGGCCATGGCTGGTTATACGAGGACGTCAAAGGCCAAGCACCCCCAAAAAACCGTGGAAACCAGGGCCTCGGCTGCCATTGGTGGCCATGGGATGCCACTGGATGCCCAGCACCCACAGGCGATTGCGGCGCCCAGGGTCGTAGGAGGCCATCGGGGACTTCACTGGCGCCGTAGAAAGCCAAACGCCCACGGGCGAGCGCGGCGCCCAGGGCCGTGGGAGACCATCCGACACCGTGTCCCCTGGCAAGTTGAGGCGCATAAGAGTGCAAAGGGCTGCCAGGTAGGGTTCTTTGAAGTCTAAGCATTTGACCGCGCCTCCCTCTACTCGCGGACAACCGCGCGCATCCTTTTCTCCCGCTGCCCGAAGCAATTGCCCTCGTGCCCAGTGGCAGGTGGTGCGCTTCCAACATGGCAGCTGCTGTCTAAGCCCCCATTCCACGCGTGCCCGCTCGAGGATGGTGCATTTCCCGCATAGCAGTTAACGCCTGAACCCTCATTTTGGGCGCACCCACTGGAGGATCCTGCGCTTCCCGCGTGGCTGCTAACTCCGAGACCTCTCATCCCACGCGGGCCCGCTCGAGGATCGTACAACTCTGGTACGCCGATGCCTTCGAGACGGTCCGATATGCTTCCAACAGGGCCCAACAGTACCGAAAGAGGACCTCAAACAACGCCCGAATAACCAACACCATTGATGTCCCTTGGGTGGTTGAATGATGCTCGCATTCTCTCCTTTCCGGGCTGCCGTCAGCTTAATTAAGACGGTCTAAGAGCTTGAACGGGTAACCCCAGGACATGCCTGTCAATGACCAACATTGTAAATGGATGTCGAGTAGCTGGATGGTGTTGGAGGAAGAAAAGACCCTGTTCTCCTGCCGGCACCGCGCATCTAGTGCAGGGAACGCCGCCTACACGAGCAGATAGTGCGGCAATGCTTTGAAGCAAATTAGCGGTTAGGCAAACTTGTATCCGCCCCTCGGGACATATTTTCAAAGTCGAAGACGCCTCCACGATGGCCCAAAGACAGCCCAAGATGCTCCACCAAGAGGCTCTAAAAATGGCGCGAAAGGACCCCACGTTGGCCCAAGAGGCAGCCAAAACGGCCCCCTGACGGCCCAAGAGGGCCTCCCGTGGGACCCAAGACGGCTTTAGAAGGCCCATCGACTGCCCAAGGCGGCGCCCAGACCCCTCCCAAGGGCTCCATGAAAACTCCTCTAATGTTGAAGGCGAAAAGTGTCACATGAGACCGCCGTCGCCTGCCTTCAGCTGCAGTTTCTCCTGACCCTCCTGCGCCGACTCCTCCTCGCCCCATCAGCGATACCACCACCATCACCACCACCACCATCACTACCACCATCACCATCACCACCACCACCATCACCAGCATCATCATGAGCAGCATCATCACAACCATCCTCAGGACCACCACTTCCACCACCATCACCATCACCATCACCATCCTCATCCTCATCCTCATCATCATCATCATCATCATCATGAACCTCATCATGACAATCATTATGCTCGTCATAGAGAAGCGTCAGAATCATCGTTATCGTTAACGTTTGCGCCAGCACCATCGGCATCAACATCACCATCACCATCACCATAATCATCAACACCACCACCAGCATCATCATCAGCATCAACATCATCATCAGTAGCATCATCATCACCATCATCATCGCCGCCTGGCTGTCCGTTTGTCGTCCGTTCGTCTGTCTGTCTGTCTTCCTGGCTCTCTGAGCCGCGGCGCTTTGAGCTTCTTCGCTCAAGGACGCGTCGGCCACCGCCGACCTCTCCCTTGTCCGTGGTCCTGACGAGGTTGGGGAAGAGGGTGCCGAAACGCGCCCAGAGTCCAGCAAGGCATGAGTGTGCAAACCCGACTTGTCTGGCTGATGCTCTGGGGGGGCCTGTGCTCAGGGGAGGCTGCAGCACCACTCAACGATGTGCTGTTTAACCGAACCTACAAGGTGGGCCCTTTCCCAAATCCGTGCTTCGGTGCGGATCGTCTGCGCGCCTCGTCTCTGTCGTCGTTGCCGTTGTCGTCGGCGTCTTGGTGGCGGTGCGTGTTGATCTCCTCGGGAATTGTTTCTCTTATGCAGTGACCACCCACCACCACCATCGTCGTCCATCATCGTCGTCATCTTTATCGACATCATCATCATCGTCATCAGCATCATCACCATCATCGTCATCATCATCATCATCATCATCAGCATCGTCATCATCATCATTAGCATCTGCACCATCACCACCATCACCACCATCACCACCATCACCATCACCATCACCATCATCATCACCATCATCATCATCATCAGCATCAGCATCAGCATCAGCATCAGCATCAGCATCAGCATCATCATCATCATCATCATCATCATCATCATCATCATCATCATCATCATCATCATCGCCATCATCGTCGTCACCATCGTCGCTGTCGTCGTCGTCGCCGCCGTCAACATCGACATCACCCCAATCATCCTCATCACGGCTCTCCCAAGCCTGACGACACGGGATTCCACATGTGACAGCCGTCCGTGCCCCCTCGACAAACTGCCACGAAGAATGCTGGGCTGGCACAGAGGCGGGACTCGCCGCAGGCTGCTGGATAGGCGGCCCTTGGAGGACACACAAGGACAGAAAAAGGCCAAGCACACACGGCCCCATCCCAGCACCCTGGACCAGTCCCGTAAAGCCCAAGGAAGAAAGCCCAAGTGCAATCGCTGTTTGTGGGGGCCGAAGAAATTTGAGGGCGAGGATGGCACGCAAAGTAGTGCGCGCCCTTGGTACGCCACGCGGGAGGGAGTGAGAGAAAGATAGAGAGAGAGAGAGATGAGAGAGAAAGCGAGAGGGATGCCGAATTTCGAATATGACAAAAACGCTCGTAGAGGTTCTCCTCATTCTCCCCCTGCTACCTTATCCCTCTCACCTCGTGGCCCCCGACCGCGAAGCGTCGTCCCCAAGAAGGTGAAATCTCCAGATCCAAAGGTCCGCAGAACACGCCTGGCTTTTCAAACGCGGGCGATCTGGTGGCCTTAGCCTCCCCGTAGACATCGCCGAGCCCATCCCCATGCTGTTGTGAGCTGTGAGCCATCAGCACTTCAGCATTTGAGCCGCGTGCGGTTCACAGAATGAACCAAGGGTGGTCGTTAATTGCACAAAGAACATGTAACGCACAGAATGCACTACATCGCGAACGGATGTGAAATTCCGGTGCAAAAAAAAACCTACCGAAGCCCGCTGATTGGACCACGTAGTCGTGCAAAGCATGCTGGAATACAAACATTCCACCTGCGAAACGCAGCGCTTTGTCGGGCGCGTGCGTATCCGAGGCTCCGAAGACGAATCGCGTCTGCAGACCAGATGGAATAATGATCTTTCCCAGGGCCTTCCGCTGAGAACGGGCAGATGCTTGCAGAGAATGCCGAGAACCTCTCATGGTTCCCCCACGGCCCCTGGCACACTCGTGATGCTGGAGGCTCCTGGAGGTATACGCGGTGGGGCAGGCGCTGGCGACGTGGACCGGGCACTGCCCTAGAAGAATGGCAAACTACACAAACACAACTGTCGGCGCGGGTTTCTCGGAACGACGCTCTTAGTTTCCTGGCGTCGCCTCCGGCACTGACCCTGGCGCGCTCCGTGCGCCAGGGAGGGGGGTCCAGAGCTGATCCGAGAAATCCGCGCAGGCCTTCGAAAGTGCATGCTTGTGCATGTTTGCCCCCCTCGATGGCCTGAAGCGAGAACCTGCTCGGGGCACGCGGACCGCCGAGCTCGTGCCCCGCCTCTGCCGCCTTGGCAAGCTGCTTCAGGGCGGACGCCGCCCCGGGCAGCTGCCTGCAGAAGAAGCTGTCGACGGAGTATGTCCCTGTTGGAAAAGAGCGCCCTCCCACTCTAGGGCTCTCAAACGAACGCACGGACACCATGGACTGGACGCGCTGAATCGGGGTCCTGAACACATGAAGGGTCCGAGGCAGATCGAGGTGCTTCTCCGATTCCACGCTCCTGCACGAGAAAAATGCCGCTCCAGCACATGCGGAAATCAGGACGGCAAGGCTGGCACCAGTCAGCACGTAGATCAAGACGATCTCGACATCACCGCTTCCCTCGCTCGCCGTGTCCACCGCCGCGTTGCTGGCAACGTTCACTCCCTGTGCAATGGTTTCGTGAGTGACCGCCCGGGTGTTGATGTCAGTGTGCGTCTCGCTGGCTGTGCTCGCTGTGGATGTGGCTGTCGCAGTGGCCGACGTCGTGGAAGACACCGTGGTCGTGGCGTGGGAAGACGTCGTGGTATGGATCGTCGTCGTGGCCGTGTCGGAAACTGACGTCAACGTCGATGTCGTCGTGAATGTCGACGATCCGTTAAAAACCGTCACCGTCGTTGTCGTCGCTGCCACTTTTGATCTTGTGGTTGTCAGAGACGTGATTGTAGGCTCTGGGGTAACGGAGAGCTGGAAGGCCTGCTGGATGCTATCCAACTTGGCTTGGGTCAGAGCAACTCCTCCCAACGAAGAGTCTGCATCCTTCTTCGAGGTGAGCTTGCTCAACAGCTCTCCCGGAGTCCACGTCTGAAAGAAAACACTCACTAGAGTGTTCGCTTGGCTGGGGTCGTCCGGTAGTAAGAGAAACTCATACTCAAACATACCCGGCCCCTGGGAAGTCGCTTGACACAGGAGCCCTGGAAGGCCAGACATCTCAATGACCATGTTCGTCAGGTGGCCAGCCAGAGTGGACGCCTGGACGGCGACGAAGGTGCCCGTGACGAAGATTCGCCCTCTCCCGAGGTCAGTGTTTACACACAGACACATCTATGGGGAAACCAAAAGGTACCGATACCGCAACTCCCGGGGCCTCTCCTGGGGTGTGTTCTGACCAGAAGTTCGAGGCGAATCCACCGGTGGCGACGAGGGCCGCCCAGGAGGTCCAAAAAGGGGAAACCGAAGCAAGGGTAGAGGTATGGGCACCTCTTCCTCATCTGAGCCTACCGCTTCGGGACCTGATTCCCCCAGGCTCCGGGAGGCGATTCCCCCCCCACCACGCTTCTGGCCAAGGCGCTGCGTCCAACCCCTCCCCCCTCCCTAGGCCCTAGGTACGCTCCCCGGGCGACCCGACAGCTCCCCCCCCGGGCTCCTCAGAGCTTCAACGACGGTGGAGAAAGGCCGCAAAAGGCGCCAAGATTGCCGAACATTGCATCAAGAGGCAACCCAGACGCCCCCAAGAGGACCCCCAAGAGATTTCCAAGATGCCAAGAGAAGGCCAAGAAGCTGTCCAGGAAGGCTGCAACCGTCCAGAGGCAAGTGATCTCCATGCGATGCTTGAACGTTTTGGGTGTGGCGGGCCTAGTTGGCTCAAGATGGGCAGCCCAAGAATTCCCCAAGGCGGCCCAAGAGAGCCACAAGAGGGTCCCAGGACAGCTCCCAGGCTCTATGACGGCCCAGCCAGGGCGGCCCAAATAGGCCCTCCAAGGCGGCCCCACAAGGGCCCAAGGAACCCCCCAGGCGGCCCAAGCATGCCTTATAAGAGCCCGATCATAACATGAGGCGAGCGGAATCACAAGTGTTACGGCCTTCTCCACGATGCTCGAAGTGTCGCCGCAAGCTGCTGCGCTGGCAGGGTGATGGGCCTTACGGCATGCAGCTGCGGGTTGACTTATCCACTTCCTCTCAAATTTCTGCGCGGATATGCGCGCGGAGATGCGTTCTCGATGTCGACGTCAGGCGAGAGAGGGGAACACGGGAGGTTGGGGTCCCTCCAGGCGCTCAGTCTAGCTGAACTCGGCGCGTTTCCCCAGAACGCCGGCCAAAACCTCCCGATGTGGAAATCGGTTGAAATGTCAGCCATCGCACACATGTATGAAGGCCTCCCGGATGGGTCAGAGTAGATGGGGTCGGAGGATCGCGCCGCATATAGCCGATGCATCGGCGACGTCGGCGATGCATCGTCGACGTTAGGGGTGGAGAAAATCTTGCCCCACATCGAGCCGTGTCGTAAAAAATCTGACCCCCTCTACTCTGACCCTACGTGGGAGGCCTAGACTGTGTGTGTTGAGTTGCATGGGGGCGCTCGGTGGGCATGGCAGAAGTTTGGAAAGAGCGCTCCATGCATAGCTGGTTACCCACGATGGCGTTTGGCGCGCTCCTATGTTGAAAACGCAAATTCGGGCTCGCACGTGGTCCGAATCCAACGACAATCCATGCGAAGGGCGGGCCATGCTGGCCGAGGTATTTGCTGTTCCGATACTTGCGGCTTCGTGGGACACATTTGTTTCGTCCGCGTCCGCGCTTGCGCGCGGACTGCCGCTCTCGCAGGTGCTGCCGCGACGACGCAAGCATGGTCCCAAGTGGTCGCGAGGATCTCCGAAATGGCGCCATTAGGGAAAGCAAAGTGTTCGTCATCGTTGGTCCGTTTTTGAAGCTTGGGATTGACGAATGTTCGGTCCATGGTGCTCATGGGCTCGTAGGGCTCGCAAGGCTCATCGGCCTTTGGGGGCTCGTATGCTCTCAGGGCTCATGGGGCTGACAGGGCCCATGGGGCACATAGGGCTCATAGGGCTCACAGGGGCCATAGGGCTCACAAGGCTCATCGGACGCACGCAGCTCAGAGGGCTCAGAGGCCTCCTGGAGCATAGGGCTCGTAGGCCTCAAAAGGCTCATATAAGACTCACGGGGCTCACAGGGCTCATCGCGCTCATGATGCTCGCGGGGCTCACAAGGCACACATGGCTTGTAAGGCTGGCGAGCACCATCGGGTTCATGGGGCTCATAGGGCCCAGAGGGCTCGTAAGGATCATGGGTCTCGTCTCAAAGGGCTCACCGTGCTCATCGAGCTCATAAGGCTCATAGGGCTCATGGGGCTCACAGGGCTCGCTGGTCTCATATGGTTCATGCGGCTCACAGGGCTCATAGGGCCCATAAGGGTTATGGGGCTCATGCAGCTCACAGCCTCGGAGGCCTCAGAGGGCTCACATTGCATGGGATTGATTAGGAAGTTGCTCGCTGTCGCTTTGAAGTAGGAAAGCATTGCGAACACACGTGGTGCTCGTACCTTCGACTGGAGGGCCCGCTTACAAGCACTTTCGGGCCCGTTCTGGGAACCAATGAAATCAATCCCAACGAAGCCAGGGGCGCAAATGGGATTCCTGGGAAGGCCAAGTGCCAACATCACTGCCCCCGTGTTTCTTGAAGCACCCGCAGTGTCGTGAAACCTTGAATTGATGACTTAGACGACGCGTGAAAACTTTCGCAGTTGACGGGCCGGAGAACTTCTCACGCGCTCTCATGAAATCACAACAACATGGTTAAAACATCATTGCAAACGACACAAAAACCACCAAGAAACACAGAACACCTAGAAATCACAGTGGGCGCGGAACAAAAAAACTAAAACAAACTGAAATGTCGTTGCAAATTCAAAAGCACGAACAAAAGCAAAGCACAATCCAGAAAAACATGGTGGGCGCCCCCAAACTACACAAAAATGAAAGCAGGGCGCCTTTGGGCGGCCCGGGACCGTCGGGGCGACCTTCGGGGCGACCTTCGGGAACCTTCGGGGCGACCTTCGGGGACCTTCGGGGAGGCCCAGGCCATCCGAAGGGCGCTTTGAAGCCTTGTTGTGTTTTTTGCGCTCTGACTGTGTTGTTAATCTTTCTGCGTTGTTTTTGTTGGTGTTTCCGCGAAACGTGCGCCCACTGTGGTTTTGAAGTGTTCTTTGAACTCTAAACGTGTTTGAATTGTTTTTTCCCAATCGTATTGCATCACCTGTGGTTCAACGTAGCTTCGCACAATAGTTTGCCTTAGAATTCTTTTAATATTGAAATATTGTTGCGGACCCAGTGTGATTAGATGAAATGATTGCTGGGAAAAGGAAACTAATGTTTGAACGCGCGCCCTGTCATGAGGACGCCGTGTGGGCTCTCTTTCAACCGTCCTGCGCTCTCTGAGGCCCCCATCGATGCCATCTTACGCCATCTTGGACGCTCCAACGACTCTTGAACCTCCCAGCCATATCATGTCATCCTGGACGCTCGCAAAACATAAGATAGCCCAAGGACCCCACTGGCATACAGAGGTTCTACGGTAAGGTTTTTGAACTAGGCCTGCGACGTAAGCCAAAAATTAGCCCACCGGCATAATGACGTTCAAAGGTGCAAATTTCGAACTGGACCGACATCTCAACCCAAAAGGTAGCCCAAGGACCCCACCGGCATACAGGTGTTAAACTGGGAATCGGAACGGGGCCTACGTCTTAAGCCAAAAAGCAGCCCAAAGACCCCGCCGACATACACGTGCCCTAAGCTAGGCACGTTTGGCTTCGGCATGTTTCCAAAACCAAAACAGAAAGTGGCCCAAGGACCCCACGGGCATGCAGAGGTCCCGTCGTCGTCGTAGTCGTCGTCGTCGTCGCCGTCGCCGCCGCAGTCGCCGTCGTCGCCGGGTGGAGAGTCGTTGTGAAAATTGAAACATGTTCTGGCCATCGCTCGGACGTCCATTCCATGTGTCTTTTTTCGGCTTCGTGCGTGGTTCTTTCGCCAAATGATCAAGGATGCTCCTCGATGGTCCTCGCCGAAGGAAACATGCACACGTCCGAGCGATACCGAGTGACTGCATACAGGGCACAACTGCTGCAGGGTCGACCACCGCCCGCCCACGGCGGACGTGGTGAGGCGCTTCGTTCCACTGGGCCCCTGCGCCACGTGGCGTGGGGCGGGCTGCTGCTAGGAAGCTGGCCAGGCCTCCTCCTGCTCGGCTCCGTCGACCGCTGCGCGGCGGGGCCCCCATGCCCATGCCTTTTCGCCCCGCCGCCCCTCTGCCTCTCAAGGGGCCCAAAGACACACAAATCAGAGTGAAGGGGCCGAACGGTCATTCACTGTCCCTGGGTGCGTGGCTGAAGTGAGATTTCGCGGTGCGGATTCTCGTTGTCGTTGAACATTATTACTTCTAAAGAATAATTATTGTTGGGACCCCTGGTGCACGCCCCCCCCGCCGCGCCTAGGCCGCAGCCACATTTTCATCATTTTCGAGCGAAAACCCTTGACAAAACGATGTGATCCAGATCCGGTTGTTTTGTTCCCCCCCGCTTTCCCTTGCAAGAAACAATATAAAATGACATTTCTTGTTCTAACATAACCAAACTTCAGGAATCCATTTGCAAAAAATGACACAAAGTGCACATTCGCGCGCGCAAGAAGAAATCCTTCCAAAACCTTAGTTTTCGTAGCGATTTTAACATAAAAACATCAAAAACCCAATGGTTTTTTTCAAAAAAAACGTGGAAAGTCTATCCCGCGCGCTCTTGCGGATTCGTAGGAAACCCAACACTTTTTTAAACATTTCTGTCAAAAGGGCTTTTGCGAACAACTTTTTCGAACTTCTGCAACAACGGTTGCGCACCTGCCAGGGCCATCATCCCTGTCAAATAATACCATGCGGGACACATTCGTTTTTTCTTCGCGCGCGCACGCCGTCGTCGTCGGCCGCGGGGCCCTGAATAGTAGCCACGGTCGTCCGCATGCCACGAAGTGAAGTGTCCGAACGTCATAGGGCGGGAAGCTGGGTGTGGGTGGTGGCGAAGAGTCGTTTGGAAATTTGGTAGAGCTTGAACCGGCCCCCCCACAAAGTGGGGGTATTGCCCGCCTCCTATGAAAACCCTGGCACTGGTGAGAACGGAGTGTCCCCACGTGCTAGTAATTGTTGTTGTTGTTGTTGTTGTTGTTGTTGTTGTTGCTGTTGTGTTGTCGTCGTCCCACCCGCAACCCCGCGACCCGACCCACCCGCGACCCACCCGCGACCCACCCCGCGACCCACCCGCGACCCCCGCGACCCACCCGCGACCCACCCCGCGACCCACCCACCCGACCCACCCGCGACCCACCCGCGACCCACCCGCGACCCACCCGACGCGACCCACCCGCGACCCACCCGCGACCCACCCCGCCCCCACCACCCACCCCGCGACCCACCCCGCGACCCACCCCGCGACCCACCCCGCGACCCACCCACCCGCGACCCACCCGCGACCCACCCGCGACCCACCCGCGACCCACCCGCGACCCACCCGCGATCCACCCGCGACCCACCCGCGACCCACCCCGCGACCCACCCGCGACCCACCTTCGACCCAAACCACGTTCAAGGTACAATTCACCATTTTCGGCGCTTGCGGCGGGTTTTTTTTTTGCATTCCTTCCAGGTAAAGAGCCACCGACCCACCCCGCGACCCAAACCACGTTCAGGGTACAAACCACATTATTCGGCGCCTGCGGCGGGCATCTTTTGCATTCGTTTCAGGTGGAGAGCCCGCGGCCCACCCGCGACCACGTTCAAGGTACAAACCAAACTGTTCGGCGCCTGCGGCGGGCATCTTTTGCATTCGCTCCCGGTGGAAAACCCGCGGCCCACCCGCGACCCATTCCACGTTCAGTGTACAAACCAATTTTTTCGGCGCCTGCGGCGGGCTGCTTTTGCATCCCTTCCAAGTGGAGGTGGAGAGCCCGCGACCCACCCGCGACCCAAACCACGTTCACTGAACAAACCAATGCCGCACAAGCGCGGCGGCGGATTTTTGCATGCCGTCTGAGCCCGCAACGACCTCTTCAAGCCCCGCGCATCCACACCAGCCCGTCCAGCAACTTTGCCCTGGCGAGTTGCCTTGATCAGAGAAGTCGGGGAGCATAAAGTGGAAAAAAGGATTGCGTTGCCGTTATCTTGGGAAAGGAGGGGGAGGCAGGAGGAGTAAACAGGGGACGAGGAGGACGCGAAAGAAGAGAGGATGTAAGGAGAATGTGGAGAAAGAGGAGGAGGAGGAGCAGCAGGAGGACGAGGAGGGGGAGGAGGGGGAGGAGGAGGACGAGGAGGACGAGGAGGGGGAGGAGGGGGAGGAGGGGGAGGAGGATGATGATGGACGGCAATGGGAGGACGATGATGGAGGCCGATGAGGGGGTGGACGGCAATGGGAGGACGATGATGGAAGGACGAGGGTGGGAGAGTGAGGACGAGGAAGAAGAGGAGGACGAGGTGGAGGAGGAGGATGACGATGACGATGACGACGAAGACGAGGACGAGGAAGAGGAGGAGGAGGAGGAGGAGGAGGAGGAGGAGGAGGAGGAGGAGAGCGCCATCGACAGGGAAGGTGGTTGCCACGAGGTCCGCCGGCTCGACGACGTCCGCGGCGCCCGCGCCCGCCCCCTCACTCTTATCCGCAAGTGTGGGGTGCTATATACATACACACGCAGATAACAGGACTCCCTATCCTTTCCAATCTTTTGTCGGTTTTTGTCTTCCCCCCCACTTCCCATATTTTCCCATATCTTCTGGGAAATCGACGATTAATTGTGTCTGTGTGTTTCTGTCCCTCCTGAACCTCG